CTGTATGCCTCTCAGGTCAGAATGGGTGGTCCAGAGTTCTCTTATAATCTCCAGGCTGTACATTGAATTACCTTCAACATGTCCTATAGGTCTGAAATATATATATCATTTATATTGACAGAATTATTCATAATACAATAATAGGTCATTCTTATGAGATGGGTTCAGGTGCAGATGACACAGTCAGGGCATTCTCTTCGGGAAAAATTGTAAGGGAGTCAGCAGTTGGAGAGACAGAGTCGGGAAGGGGTAGGACTGAGCAAGAATGTGGCCTTAGTCTGCCAGAGACCAATGGGGAGAATGGGAGTCTCTGCAGCCTAAATCAGAGTTGCTCTGCCTGGAGGTAGAGTCTGAGCTATGGCATTCCCATATAAGAGAGACACTGCCCCCTCTGGGTGGGGGAATAGCCTCCCAGGTGTCCGTTGGAGAAGTGAAGCCCATTGGCCAAAGGCAAGTCTCCAGAGATGGTCGCAGGTATGAGCTGATTACTGCAGCGCTGTCAGAGCTGGGAGCTGGGCACAGTGATCAGCAAAGGAGACCCGGGTGGGACATCAGCAGTGTCTCCTACAGCAGCTAAGACTTACGTAGTCCAGACTACGAGTGTGTGTCTGGCACCGTAAGTGCTTTATGTGCATTAACAAACATAACGTTTAAAAGGACCCTGTAATGTAGTTACTAATTATCATGTTTTACAGTGAAGGAACTGAGGGATAGAGGTTAGAAGTAACTGGCTTACGGTTCCTCAGGAAGCAAATGATGGAGCTGGGATGCAGACTGGGGAAGAGTAGTTCTAGATTCCATGCCCTTAACTGCTCCCTCTACTTCCACAGCGTGTTGAGTCCGAGCACACAACAGGCGCTGTCGCTGCCACTGGGAATCCATCAAGGAAATGAACACACAAATCCCTGCCCTCACTGAGGTCGTTTTCTAGTGAGGGCAGATGGACACTAAATGCATAAGTAAAATGTATGATCCAGACGGTAATAAGTGTCAAGGAAAAAATACATCAGCGCAGAGAGGTAGGGAGTGCTAGGTGACAGCGGTAGCTTTAAGTAGGGTGGCCCAAGGGTGACTCCTCTTAGGAGGCATTTTAGCAAAGACCCAAAGGGGTGGTTTCTCTGTTTTGGCTCTCACCACTCCCTCTGGCCGACCCCAGTTTACTCTCCATCCGCACAGCTGGGGGTATTCCTTCCAAACCACTCTGTCATCTTCCTTCCCTGAAAGACACCCTTCAGTGGCTCCCCGTTGCCCTCGGGATAAATCCAGCATGCCTGCCATAGTACAAGACCCATCCTGATTTGACACCGGCTTCCACTTCTACCTCTTCTCTGATGTCTGGGGCGAGAGTACCAATGGAAACCCATATACCCCCTGTCTCAGCACTGAAAGTGACTATAGCAAGCTGTGAAATAAAACGTGTTCCAGCCTTCTACCTTGCTGAATGCAACTTCCTAGCAACCGAGGAGGCCAGCTTCACATTTAGGTTTGTTGGACGCCTCTGATTTCCATGTCAGGATTTGGCAGCACAGGGATACCAGCCCCCAGGCCATGCTCTGTCTTCCACTGTGGAGGGCCTCACGCATGCATGTTCTAGCCGCATTCTTGCAAACAACAGCCCTTTGCCACCCCTCAGGCCTAGGGGTGCTCACACTGGTGGTGTTACTTGCCTTGGGGGGTTGAACCTGGAAAGCAGGTACACGTGGACCCGGGAAGTAGGCTAAGGGCCCTTTCGGGTTTCAGGTTCTAGGAGCTTGGCCTACGAGGGGGTTGGAGGTACAGCATGGACTCTATCTGGGCAAGTCTTGTTGGTCTGGGGCAGGGCTGGGGGTGAGAGGGTATCCAAGAAGAGGGTCGGAGCCTGGAACAGGGCTCTCCAAAGCAGTCAGAGAAGCTGTCCGTCATCCATCACGCTTCCTCCTACCCATGTGCCTACATCACAGTGAACTGCGTGAACTTTCTCAATATGCCGCGCTCAGTGGCTTCTGTGATTCTGTGATTTTGCACAGGCTCCAGAATGGAGGCCATTCACTTGGACTCCTTGTCATAGTTTCCCTCATCTTCCTGTGAGCTCTCTGACCTAACCCCCTCATGGCTGACCCTTCACTCCCGTCCCCAATGACAAAAACACCCCACATAGCGGCGATGTGGTGGGGTGTAATATAATTTATTGACCTGAGTGTGGGCTTTACACTCAACCGTTCTGGTTTTATTTGCCTCGCTACTCACTAGTCATGTGACCTTCTGCAGATGCTGTGCCTCAATTCAACCATCTCTTATATGGAGATTACCATATCAAGTTTATAAGGTATTGTGAGGATAAAGTGAAATATCATATATCCAGTGTCCAGCTATAGTCCCTGGGATTCCTTTTTCCTTCCCCGGCTATGCTCCTTACTTGAAACCAAACAGTGCACCTTGAGAGATGAGGCTGTTTCACAGAAAGATGCCAATTAGATTAGCTCTCAGCCCCTGGCCCTCTTTCCCCATCTCTGGAGTTAGTGAGAACGTCCTAGAGAATATTAGCACCTGATTTCTGTGGGAGTTGTCAGAAATGATTAGGTGACAGTGTGTAACCTGCTACTGACCACCGCATTTAGATGCTGGGATAGTCAAACTCAAGCTCTTGGCAGCAGCGCTATTTGTTTTTAGGGATGGAGATTTCTCACGTCAGCACAGTTACGGCAACAGGGATAGGGCCCGAGGAGCAGGCACACGGAAGCTAGTCACCTCTAGGAAGGAGCAAGACCCACAGCTGCCTTGCACTGCCTGACGTAAGTGGGCATGCAACAAATGGGTCAAGCTGAACGAAAGTCAGCTCAGTGAGAAGAGCCATGGAATCCCGGGAGAAAAGTGGATAAAAGAACTATCAGGCGAGTCAGAGGAAATACTTCCAGGCCAATAAGCTAGAGCTAGTAATCAGAGAAATGCAAATTTAAATGTAATGCAATATTTTTCCTAGAACATGGGCAAGGATTTCAGTGACCAGTGCTGAGAGGATGTAGAAAGGGGAAAGGGGTATCCGTGCATTGCCGGTAGATATGTGAGTGATATGTCTACAAAGCAGTAATGAGAGTGAATAAATAAGTTATGGTAGAGCTATAAGACGGACTATGTGTCATTAAATGTACCAGTTTAAAGAAATTTTAGACAGGAGAAAAAAACCTCTGTTACAGTGAAGAGTAGCACACTCCATGGTATTATACTGCACAGACACAAATTGCATGCACAAAAAAGACTGGAAGGAAATAGGCCAGATAGTATAAATTCCTAATGAGCATCTCTTATACAGTTCTTTGAATATTTTAACTTTTTTTAATAATTAGCAGGTGTTTCTTTTATAATGGGAAAGAACTTCTGTAATTTAAGAAAACATCGCTTGCTTTCAGACAATAGGGCAGACAAATTTGTAGAAGACTTTTGCCACTTGTTGACTCAACATTTCAAAGAAGGAGCAGAAGTAGCTCCTTTGCTTTGGGATGCAGAGTTTGGGGAGAAATAAACGACTCAGGCTTCTTCCCATGCTGAGTCTAGTCCTTTGTATCAACAAGAAGACATGGAAAGAGTCTCCTGCCTGGGGAGTTTCCGCATCTAACTGGGAGGACTGAGAAAGCTGACTTAAGCTTGAGATGTTTGCACAATCACGGGGGCTGTGGTCGCTTCCCCAGGCTGTGACATTCTCATCACTGTTGAGATTTGAGAAGGAAGCCTGAAAAGAGATTTTGTTTCCATTTGTGGCTTAAATCTTCCCATTGTGGACTTAGCCTCCAGTCGCTGGAAGCGATTGATATGTGGTGCTGCACATCTGTGGGTCATGTAACATACGCAGTGGTTTAAGCAAGTACAGTCTGGGGACTTGGAAATTAAGTGAAAGATCCTCAGGAAATGCTACACCAGTGTTTATATAAAAATGTGAAGTAACCAAAGTCTATTTTGAGTTCTCAAATAAATAGGTTAAATAAGCCAAGAAGAAGAGAAGACCACCCCCCGCATCTACAAAACATAAACTGTCTTCTAAACTGAGATGTTATAATTATTTTGACCTTCATGGTTTTTCTTTTGATTTTTATAGTTAAACTCCAAGTATTTAAATAAACTTTGCTACTTAATAGGTTATATAAATGCATCTTAATCAGTTAGCCTGCTTATCTTCTCGTTTTAAAGATGGCCACTGTCACTTCATCTGCCCTTGATTTTGAGAGGAGCTTTCCTTCTCTGAGCTTTCTGAAATATGCCTTTTTACACCCCGACTCTTATCATGGAAGCACATGAGACAGCAGACTGTTTCCGCCTTTCTAACCAGGCCCACCCTAGGCTACCTTTGCATGATCAGCATGACTCAGCAACCTGCTTTTTAAAAGTTGACATACCTTTGGAACTACAAGTAACACATCTTAAATTCAGTGGTGGTAAATCTATATTATTGACACTTTGTGTACCGTCTCTTATCATTTGATAGAATCTGCCTAGAATCTTTATCGAAAAATATTCTTTGGTGCAGTTTGGGGTCAGTGGTGAAGTGTGCCAGTGACTGCCACTGATGTGGGCGTGGGGAAGGACCGTACTCACGCCAGGGACTTTCCATCTCAGATTTAAGGGCGACAGGGTCCCTGTGTTTAGAGAGCTTGTTTGTATTCAAATGGGGAAAACATGATTCCTCCCAGGATCAAGAGAGACAGACAAAAATTAAATGTAACATCAGACATAATTGTGAATACCCCCAAAAGTAAACATCCCAACAAGTGTGAATGACCGTCTTCGTAAGGCTGACTTTTTTGCTAAGCGCTAGGAGAAGGAGAATGCCCTCAGTCAGATTGGGTTAACCTGGAAAGGTTTGCTGGGGCAGTGCATTTTGAGTTAGATCAGAAGGCGGCCAGGAGACCCGGCATGAAGGTGGAAGGGTGGTCCAGATTAAAGGAATGCAGATGTCCGGATGCTTTTTGACTGTGCACTTGAAAGTCTCAGCTGCCCAGTGACCAGGCCTGTCTCTGACCTACCCACAGTGAGGACGTGTGCAAACGTGGCTTCACCGTCATCATCGACATGCGAGGCTCCAAGTGGGACCTTATCAAGCCCCTCCTCAAGACACTGCAGGAAGCCTTCCCAGCCGAGATCCATGTGGCCCTCATCATCAAACCCGACAACTTCTGGCAGAAACAGAAGACCAACTTTGGCAGCTCCAAATTCATCTTTGAGGTGAGCCAGACCTCTCTCTTAGCACCCCCTTTCCCTACCCCTCCTGTCACCCACACATTTCTCAGCAATTCTCTATCTACCCTATGATACACATGTCTGGGACTGGTATGTCAGGATTTCTTGGCTACTATGGCCTTACTAATTAGTGTCTGGGAGGAAAAATAGGATCACAAGATTGTTCCAAATAGACAGTGTCATTAGGCAGTTCTGTATACCGTTAGGACAATTGTTTCTGGAGGCAACTTTGTAATTTGGGTCAAATGCCTTAAAAAGAATTTATATCCTGCTGGAAGAAAGGGTTTATATCCACTGATCTAGCAATTCTTCTCCTAGGAACATATTTTTAATATAAGAAGTAAACAAAACTTTTTGAAAATCTAATTATAGTTGTAAACAATTGTCTACAAGGATGTTCATCACCATGTTTTTTGCAATAGTATACATACATGTGTACACACATATACATATATATCCATACACATATATCTAGTTTGTATCCTGCTAATTAATGTTGATGACATTAGTACACAAATACTATGAAACCATTAAAAATCATATTTAGTTATATGTGAATTATAGCTCAATAAAAAATATTTATAAAAATGTCATTGAAAAATGCTTATGATATATTGTATTAAAAAGGCATGTATGAAACAATATGGGCAGTATAATCTGAAATTTGTCTTTTAAGTGTGTATGTGGAGAAGAAGGCTGAGACACACATGAAAATGTTAGCAGTAGATTATTAGAGATGGCAGGATTACCAGTGATTTTGATTTTCTTTGTGCTTTTCATTTTTCTTCAAGAATTATGCATTACTTTTATACACAGGGAAGACATGTTAGTTTTTAACTAGATTTTTTTTTTAGAGGACATATGTGTCCCTGAGGCATTTTAATAACACATCACATTAAATCAATGATTTAGGAACTTTTGTTCGAGACAAATTTGAGCTGTTTCCCTTTCTTGGGATTCTAGCCCTCATCTGCAAGGGATGGACCCTGCACACGTGTGTATGTGGGAAAGGCAGGGGTGCTCTGAAATTTGCAACAACTTCACATTCCAGACCCTTCCCCCGCAGGACCAGGAGTGTCTGTCTGTGTGTGGGGTGGTGGCCCCAATATCTGCCATCTGAGCACAACCACCTGACCACCTTAGCGAAGCAGTCTCACTCTGTGTAAATAATACAAAAAAGATTTTGACTTGATATGAAAACAGTCACACGCTGCCAGCACCCCTACCCAGCACCAGCAGTCCTGTAGGGAAATGCTTTCTGTGCTTTTGGTTGGTTTATACAGAGGTGGTGACAACAAGCCTATATATTTATAACCTGAAAAGACTGAAAATAATCTTTCCAAGAAGTCCTGAAACACTTTTGCTTCAGTGTAGCCGCCCAGCACTTCCTATCTCCCTTCACCCCAAATTAAGTAAGCTTGTCTCTGCCTCCCAAACCAAAAGTACAGGAGAGAGAGCTGGAGGCCTCCCACTCAGAAGAATATTTATAAAGCAGCCCCTTACAAACAGCCAGTGAAATGCCTGATACCGACTGAGAGCACAGGCTTGTTTGGTAGCAGATACTTAAGACTAATTGGTGAGTATAATCAGGGGCGACTTCCTGGACGTGGTCAGCTTTGAGCCAGGTTTGAAGGGGGAAGTGCCCTAGAACAGGACTGCACAGAGCTGAATGCACAGAGTCCCTTGGGGATCTTGTTACATGAAGATTCTGACTCAGCAGAGTTGGGAGAGGTCTGAGATGCTGCATTTCTGACTAGCTCCCAGGTGGTCTTCATGCTGCTGGCTCAAGGGCCACACTCTGAGTAATAGGATCTAGTTTAGCAGGGGTTTGCGTTACTGGCTGCACATTGGAGCCACCTGGGAAGCTTTTAAATCCACCCACGCCCAAGCTTCAGCCTAGGGCAGCTAAATCAGAGAAGGGCACCTGCTACCCTGGGAGCCTTGGGGTGGGGCGGAGGGCCCCGGAGGCAGGAAGATGGACTGAGATCCTTGAGGCCCGTGTACTGACCCGCATTGCACAATCCAGCTGTGATGATGACCTGGGACACGGGCCTGGGTGGGCCTTCAAGCTGTAGAGAACTAGGCACCCAGGCACTGGGTCTCTTTTTTCTTCCAGCTTCTCCTGCTTCTAGCATCTGAAGCCCTGCTGTGGTGGACTGGGGGGTTGGGGAGGAGGAAGATAAAGGCAGCCAAGATGTAAAGGCAGCCTTTCCGGGAATGGCCAATGGTGGGCAGGTAGAGAGGCTTCGGAGCCAGCCAGCCAGTCTGTTGAAACTGCTGACCCTGGCTGATTTGTGGCTCCTGCCCAGTGGGCCGTGTGCTCTCCTACCGCCCTTTCCTAAGCAGGCTGTGGTCATTATTCTGTGGACTTAGTATCTCAGCCTCTCCCCTTGACTTTCTCCTCTTGCCGGCCGCTGCCTTGGTCTTCCCCCGCACTCCCCCCACGTCACCGAGTCTTCCCTCTGTGTGTCTGCCCTCCCAGACGAGCATGGTGTCCGTGGAGGGCCTCACGAAGCTGGTGGACCCCTCCCAGCTGACCGAGGAGTTCGATGGCTCCCTGGACTACAACCACGAGGAGTGGATCGAGCTGCGGCTCTCCCTGGAGGAGTTCTTCAACAGCGCCGTGCACCTGCTCTCGCGCCTGGAGGACCTGCAGGAGATGCTGGCCCGCAAGGAGTTCCCCGTGGACGTGGAGGGTTCTCGGCGGCTCATTGACGAGCACACGCAGCTCAAGAAGAAGGTGCTGAAGGCCCCTGTGGAAGAGCTGGACCGGGAGGGGCAGCGGCTGCTGCAATGCATCCGCTGCAGCGACGGCTTCTCGGGGCGGAACTGCATCCCGGGCAGCGCCGACTTCCAGAGCCTGGTGCCCAAGATCACCAGCCTCCTGGACAAGCTGCACTCCACCCGGCAGCACCTGCACCAGATGTGGCACGTGCGCAAGCTCAAGCTGGACCAGTGCTTCCAGCTGCGGCTCTTCGAGCAGGACGCGGAGAAGGTAGGCGGGGAGCCGGCCTGGCTGGGGCTGGGGCTGGGGCTGGGGGCGGAGGGGAGGGCGCATAGCTTTTTAGGGAAACTGATAGAGGCTGCTAAGTCCAACTTTCTGATTAATGGCACTACTTTGTGTGGAAAGCTTTAAAAAAAAATGTGCTGATTGATTTTAGCTGGCACACACGTCACTCTTATATTTGGCCATTGATCGCTGACTTCTTAAAGCTCCCCCTCTCGGGTGTTTATTAGGCACCAGGCACTGTTCTAAGCACCTGTGTAAGTGAACTCATTTTAATCCTCTCACGTCCTCTGAGGCAGGCGTATTGTCCCATTTTACAGATGAAGCAACTGAGAGGCTAAATAAGGAAGTGCAGTACGGCTCCAGAGTCCACGCTTCCCCCCCCCCCCGCTGTGGAACACTGTCCCTCTCAGGACATGTAGTGAGTGGTTCAAGCCAGCTGAGCAACAGAATTAACAATATGTTACCAGCCACAGCAGCGTGACATATGATTATTGCCGTGCCGTGTACTTGACTATGACAAAGCGTTGCACACAGAACCTTATTTAATCCGCACAGCTCTTCGATCCTTTGAGGTGGGTGGTAGTGTCTCTGCTGAAGCTCAAGGAAATGGGTGCTCCTTGATCTTGGGGCTACCATGTCAGACTTGATGTATGAATCCAGCTTTTTTCAGTTTGAAGTGCAGTGCTCTTTCCGCCATATCACTTCTTTCTGAAGGTTTTTCCTTAGCCTGCTCAGCACTTAAGCAAGACCCCATTTTCCCCAGCAGTGAATTTTCAAAGCTTTCCCCTTATCGCGGGAGAAAGTGAAAAAGAAAAATATCCTATAGTGCCTCTTTGCTAGGGACACAAAAGTATCTTTTCTAGATTCTCTCCAAGCTAAAGAAGAGAGTGTGCTATTATATGTGCTTTAGAAGGCGTGAAATGGACTCTCCTCCTTATCAGTTTTCTGAAAATATACTTAAATGCACAACAGTTCTCTTAGGAATACCATGAAATCTCTGAGTAACCTGTGATTTCACATATTGACTGCGTCTGATGTAATGGTTTTGTGTCTTTTAAGAGCCCACGTTGAAAATGTCTGAGTATTTTTGAGTGATGAAATCAGGATACAGAGCTCTCTATGATCCCAATTTGTGTGAGAGTGGCAGCGCAGGTATAACTGGAAGAAAATTCACCACGGTATTAATAGCTTTGATTTCTAGGGGCCAGGCTTATGGTTGATTTTAATTTCTCTGTATGAATTTCATGTGTTTTCCAGTCTCTTATCAGGTATAATCAGAAGAAAACCGATAGACGTAATTTTTGCAGAACGCACATCCTCTTTCTACAACAGAACTTTCGAACATCATTTAAGCCAGTTTTGTAAGAGACATGTAAAGGGGTTCCTTGCACAATGTTAGGTGTTGCAAAAGTTTTCCCTGACCTTCCTGAGGGCTCTTTTGTCTGACCCTGACCTGCTCTGGGAGGGGCCACTTGACTGCAGAACGCTGCCACTGTTGATGAAGTGATCCGACACCAGGTCAGGAGACATCTGCTCTGTGGAGCCAGAAGCAGGCCCCTTTCCTGTGGAAAAGTCTGGAACATCTCCTTTTTACTTAGGGTGTCTTCTGCTCTGGAGCAAGGAATGTGCTTTACAGCCTGGCCTGGGTGCCCATGTCAGTGAGCCAGGGACAGGAGCGAGTCAGGGGACTTCGTCTGTCTAGATGTGTTGTAGAGTTTGAGGTAGTTCACAGCATCCCTGACGCTCAGGGATATGGGAAGACTGCATAGGGCAGAGGTAATGCCTGCCCCCAAAACAATAAAACACCATAGCCCAGCCCCAGAAGATGCCAGGGAGGGAAGTCAGCCAGGTGCCAGGTATCAAGCAGTCATTGCTGCCTCGCACACGCCCTCCAACTCCATGCCCACAGGAATCATATGGTGTATTATTATCACTCCAATTTTATAGTTGAGGAAAGGGAAGCTCAGAGAGGTGAAGTGGCTTGCCCAAGAGCACACTGCTGATTACACAGAGCCAGTACTTTTCCTGCTCCAAAGCCCACCCAAGCTCTCACCCAGTAACCCTGAGGTCCTCTGCTCCTAGGACCTGCCTCGCTACCACTGAGCACTGCTTATGAGCCCCCGAGCCCCCTGACCCATGCCCTGATGACTAGGGAGAATCTCAGCTCCCACCTCCTAACGCTCACTGGACATGGGCTCTCAACCTTTCTGTGCTATGGAGCACTTTGGCCTGGTGAAGCCTGTGGACCCCTTTTCAGAATAACATTTGTAAATGTACCAAATAAGAGGTGTGGGCTTGGATAATAACTATGGAAGTGCAGTTACTGAATTTTTAAAAATAACATGTACTTCTTTAGGAACATGCTAAATGACAAGAGATGCTTGAGCTCTCACAACTACTATCATTTTGAAGCAGCGACGAGCATAAATGCTATTTTAGGGCAACAGCCCTGATGTGATATGAAGATGCATGTGTTTCCATTGATGTCAGAGGCACAGGGTGTTGGCAACAGTAGTTTGTTGCTTGCATGCACAATGGAAGAGAATGTTATATTTCAGTTAGAGGTTACTGAAAATACAGGGATATTTTTTTGTCCCTATCCAAGGACACAATCCCTGAATTCAACACATGGACTCCTAAGTTTAGGATCCGTATTCCATGGTGTGTTCATACCTTAAAAAAGAAGTGTGCATGCATGCACATGTGTGCACGGAGGTGTGGTATGTGTGTGGAGGGGGGAGGGGAGAAAATATCAAAAACAAAACAGAGGGAGTGAAAGGATGATGGGAAGTGAGCAGCCCAGGAATACTTTGATATTGAGTCAGTGGTGAGCCTGACTCAGGCTTGACCCAGCCGCCACAGAAAATGTGCTGGGTGTGGGGCAGGCGGGAAGAACAGTCCTTTTAAGTTGCTTCAAGATTCATTTAAAATATCTGTGCAGAACTATGTGCCTCGGCCTTCGACTTATTTGGTGTTTCTGAAAGGGGGTGAGGAATGGGGTGGTTTGGGGGAAGGCTGTGTGTATGCAGATCCACATCTAAACAAGGGCCTGAGGAAATAGTTACTGTGTGAGCCACATCGGGGCGCCTTTTCTGGTGGGAGGCTTGTCCGAGGCCTCCGGTTCCAGATCCAGGAAGCTCTTGGCAACCGGAGGAGCCTGGTGATCACCCAGCTTCTATTTTTGTAAAGAGGTGGGCCCCAAGTTTCCCCTCGGGCCCAGTGGGGTGACAGCTTGTTTCCCAGGGCTTGATTAATGGGTGGTGTTCCCCATTTACCAGCTGGCCTTGGAGAAGGAAGTGACCCCTGACCACCTTCCCTTGGCCTCTGTGATGAACCCCTGCATTCGTCTTGGGGGTGGTGGGGAACGTGCCATTCTCTCTCCTAATTAAGCATTTAGGGAGGAGGGACTCTGTTGTATAGATAATTCATAAAGCAGGCCACCCATTCATTTAATAACTTCTGTTGACCAGCTGTCATGAGCCCAAAACAGGGCCCTTGGATAAAGATGAGTAGGCCCGAGTTTTTTGCTCTGGAGCCGCAAGCTGTTATAAACTCCTATTTAATATTATTTTTGTCTGCTGTGTGCACCCCACTTTCCTAGGCACAGCCTCTGTGATTGGGGAGTTTTCAGACAGGAGGGTGTATTGCAGCTCGGGAATGACAGGAAAGCCTGACTGAGCAATTTGGGGGAGGGCTGGGTAATTCAGAGGTGATTCAAGGAACACACAATGCATCTTGCTGGAAGATGAACAGCACTGCCTCGGCCCTGTGCCCTCTGGTCTGTAACTAATGGGCCTGTCCTGCACTGTGTTCACAGAGCACAGGCGGGTCGCTCCTCATTAGCCAGGCGCAGATTACGGCTCTCTTTGCAGCCCTGTTTCCCAGCCAGCTGCCCCCTCGGCTGCAGTGAAGCCTGTGTGATGAAGGTGTCTGCCCTGTAATCACATCCTATTACCGGAGAGAAGGAGGCCTCTTCCCATTAGGGGGTGCTGTGTGGTATTAAGGGTCATTACGTAGACTTACTGTAGATGTCCCCTTGGAAAAGGGAAGGGTGGCTGCTGCTCAGTGGAGGATCCTCCCTAGTCCCCCTCCCCTTTCCTGGGTGCCTAGAACACCTTAGAATATTAGAAAAGACCCTGAGAGAGAAAAGTCTACCTCCCATGCACAGCCGCACGGCCTCATCTCGGATGCCCATCTGCGTGCTGATGTGAATGAGAAGTGTCAGGAAATACGCTGCCACACCACCTGCCTTCTGATCTGGAGAAGGCCCACAGTCTTCCAGCCTTTATAGGCAAGGAGAAGTGCCTAGAAGGGCTCCAGTGCATAACCAGACTTAACTGATGGAGAGACCTGTACCGACTTTGCTTCTGAATGAAGGAGGCTATACTGGGAGGCCCATATGCAGTTTTGTCCAAAGCCATTCCAAAAAGGAGGAGTATATTCTTACTTCTTGTGGGAGAGTCCCCAAAAGAGTGGACAAAGCTACCCAGTGGGGTTCCCAGTGTTGGGCTTATACTTATTATTGGTTTATGCAGCATGTTGTGTTTGTTTCATGTATAAACCATGCTTGGGACACGCCCCAGACAAGATCTTTATCGCCACACTTGGGAGGATATTTCGGTGCCCACCTCCTCCGTGACCAAGGTATCTGCCCAGATGAAGACCTCTCATTGCTTAGAGGAGTGGCTTCAGTGGCTCCCCGAGCCTGCCCTCACCACCCCACCTATGGGAAAGCTCCCTTTGAAGACCCTAATTTTAAATGCCTTTCTACATATTCATTCTCGCAGGGTGAAATTCTGTTCACCCATGGGTGCCATGTTCATGTTGAAATGGAGCTGTGTGAGTGGGGGTTTGGATTCGTCCCGGGGTGCCATTTATCAGTAGGGAGACCTTAGGTATATCATTAACCTCTAACCCGCAATTCTGTTCCCAACGAAACAAAGATGAAGAATCTGAGCTAGCTCAGTGACTTTTGAATTTTCTTC